CCCGCAGGTGGCGCACCTCCACCGCCCCCTCCGCCGCCGCCACCACCACCACCCGGCGGTGCACCTCCTCCTCCCCCGCCTCCTCCTCCCCCGGGCGCACCCCCTCCACCGCCTGGTGCACCACCCGCGCCTCCAGCCGGTCTACCGGCACCTCAAGCCGGTCGCAACGACCTGCTCGCCTCAATCCAAGGCAAAGGCATCCATTCGCTCCGCAAGACAGAGAACGCGTCGCCGCCCGCACGCTCCACGCCCCCGCCGCAGGAAGAGAGCTCGGGCGGAGGCGGAGGTGGCGATTTGACGGCTAGTCTTGCTGCGGCGCTGTTGGCGAGGAATAAGAAGATTGCGGATAGTGATGAGGAGGAGGAAGAGGAGGAGGACTGGTAGAGGATTGAATGGACTGTGCTAGAGTGTGCTGGATGTACTGCGGATTGGATTGTTGCTGTCGTATGGACACTCGCGGCGTGCTGATGAGAAGGAACAGCAATCGATATTTGACTTATGCTTGATTTCTTGATCTATCGCCTCTCAGGCAGCTCGTGCTTAGACCCGGAAAGTGGGCTCAGCGCGGTAGCTTCAGTCCAGCTTCAGCCAGCAGGCAGCCTCCTGTGGGGTGTCGGGTGAGGATGGACGCGATCCCGTGAGCTTCCATAAGGCGACGCGTGCGGTTTGAAGGTGCGGTGAATATACCACCATTTATTATCCGGTTCCAACCCGCGCTTAATTCACCAGGTATACAAGTCTAGCTAAGAATGGCTCGCTGCCCAGCAGATGTTATCAACGGGTCTGGAGAGCAGTCCGCAGTGCCTTTATCGCCACGATATACTTGCATCGGCCATCCTGTAACGTCTAGGACATACTATGACCGCAACGGAGAAGCGCTGGGCCCGAGCGGCGACGGGATCCCAGCACACGTTCCCACCGGCGGCGGCGATGCCCTTCACACCCTTTGAGAGCGGGGTCGGCGAAGACCTGTGTAGGGCACGCGCTGGGTTTAGTATATGAGCGAGGTAATTATCGTGGTCAATTAAGTAACCCTAACCCTATGGTTATTTAATTAACCCCGTCCAAAATTATAGCCGGTGCATTATTCACACCGCCTTGGCACCTCGGTTCGACCGTTTCAGTTGCTTTTCAGCCGGAATAAGAAAATCGGGCGCTCTCGCGCGTTCGGAGGAACATGATCGATCTGCGTACAAAGAGAAGGGAAGCCTGCGGCCGATTTCGTCAAAAGTAACCGTGAGAGCGCTCTTCCTCCATCTGAAACTTGGATTCCAAAAGAGACCTGGAACTTATTATAGGTCTTTCGTATATCGAACTTTTCAGACATGATGCATGATGACTTGAAGGTGGAGATCTCTTAGTGTCCCTGAACCATGCCCGAGCTAGGCCCGTACGAGGCAGCGTCCATCGAACGGCTGCATGCGACTGGGACTTCATGGCATGCCAGGGTCGCATGTACTTTCCGGCGTACAGTAGTATCAGGCACGGGGACAATCAATACACCAATACATCCCTCAATCTTTCAGGCGAAATTTACACTTCTTGCGATGTCCACCTTTCCAGTCCCTAAAGGTGTCACACGTCAGCGAGAGAACTAATACCGATCATCATTCACGTGCCACGTACTTCTGTTGACATTCAGCCGAGCAGTACCGCGTCTCCTTGCACCCCTTACACGGCGCCAACACCCGCGTACTCGGTATCTTGTGAAACACGCATTCCCGCCACGAGCACAAGCGCGCGGTCCGCCAGTCGTACTTCTCGCGTTCGCTCTCGATCTCGACCATCACTGACAAGCCGAGATCAGACCAGCCGTCGACGAGGGCGTGGTACCATTCGAGATGCCGGAGCTCGTCGCGCGGCGCGAGCAAGCGCTGCATGTTCAAGAACCAGTACTCTTGTGCGAACCCGCGCATCTGGATGCACATGAGTTGGATGTCGCCATTCCGCGTCCACACGCCGGCGCCGCCGTCGTCGAACCGGTCTAGAGGAAACTTCTGCCAGCGGAAGGTCGCCTTTACGAGCTTCTCGATGTAGTACGCAGTGTCCACGTCTGCGGGGCCGTAGAAATGAGCGGGCAAAGTCAAGCGAGAGGGTAGTTTGTGGATTGTCACTGACCGAGGTCATGATTGCCTGTGCCAGATAGGCGCATGGCATTGAGACCGCAGATATAGCACAACTCAAAGATGGACATGACATCCCTGCCGTTAGTAGTATGACAGACACCCCGTTCCACGCCCTCGCATAGTGTACTTCAAGGTCGTGTCAGTACTGGAAGTTTCGAGATAGGAATGGTAGACGTACTAAAGCAGGTCAATCGTCGCGCGACAGACCGACAAGTGATTGCTGCAGTCCCCTGGCTCAACGCGGCCATCGCGCACCTGGCGCCGCAACGCCACCGCGAGCGCGTGCGTCATCGTGCTCGCCCAGAGCGCCTCCCGGATGGGCCGTGCACAGGCGAACGAATACGCAGTAAGGTCTTCCAGTATGCGTATGTGCTGCTGTAGCCGGTTGTCTATCATCCACGCGCACGACTCGATCGCCGTACGGAACGCGTCGACGACGCGTCCCGCGCCGATGCGTTCGATCGCAGGATCGATTTTACCGCCCCAGGGCGTCGTTGCGATTCCGCCAAAGGGTGGAGGGTCAGGCTCCTTGTTGTCGCGAGTCTGCTTTTGGCGTTCGGTTCGCGCGATCGCGCCTTGTAGTTGGGCGTGGATGACTGAGGGCATGCGGGTAAGTTTCTGGTTGTCGTGTATGCCGCCCAGTATGGCATGTGTCCAGGCAAAGAGCAGCACCGGAGCGATGTCCATAACGAGAAGCACTTCCGCGTGATTACTATGCATACGTCGTGAGCCCATGCGCAGGAATGGTATGTCGAGGGACAAGTAGCCAGATGGCCATACATACCGGTTCTTATTCTGCGCAGCGACTTCATCCCACAAGTCGGTTACTCTTATGGCAAGACTCGCCAGCGCTTCGCACGCGCGGGCTCGACTCCCCGAGCCTTCTTGTGCTGGGCCGTCGTCTTTCCTGAGTTTATCGATGTTGCGCCACAAGTCCGTCCAAATGCGCCATAGTCCTCCCAGGAGGTCCAGTCCAAAGCCGTCCGGAAGGATAAGGGATGTTGTCAAGGGACCGTATGTGATCTGTGTGAGCCACAGCGACACGAAGCCGTCGAGGCAGTTGAGAACGCTGACGATCCAGACCTGGCATCACATGAGCGTCACGAGCAGCATTGACGGGAAGGGGAGCGGCGCACCTCGGATTGCAGCAGGAAATTATCATTGGTGATCATCCTGATGAGCAGCATCGGTAGCCCACTCGCTATGCACGCGCGACAGAACTCTGCGTCGAGGCCGTCATCATGTCCCCTCCCTGTGATCGCACGGTCGTGTACAACGTCCCGTGCGCTTGTCTCGCTCTTTGACGCATGTATAGACGTGAAGAGTGGTTTCTGCGGGGCCTTCAGGTGCGGAGTGAAAATGGACGAGAGCGTGGATAGCTTCGAGACGAGCGCGTCTTGGGGATCGAGCAAGGCACCGTGGTGGTCCAAGTAGAGGCAGCGAATCTGCTCTATGGCAGAGGAAGGGCCGTCGAGAAGCAATAGCGAGAAGTCATCTACGTCTTCACTGGGCAGCATGTCTGATCTTCCTGGTTGCAGAGCCTGCAAATACTGGTCACGTCTGACGAAGGCTCAGATAGCCAGTGGTAATGGGTGAAGATGGAGGCCAAGTCGCTGACGTCCTCTTCCCTTCACCGCCATCATCGGAGTGCTCAATCTCAGCCGTAGCATCTGGCGCGCCATAGCGAATATGGTAGTAATGAGCCGGTCATGGCGGTAGCGGTGGAAGTAGAGCGGGTTCGTGGGAGCGTCAGCTCAAGCCGGAGATTGCCGCGCTTATCTTCGTAGATTAACGGCTTGCTTGTTTCCTTCATCTTCTATCAAAGACATGGACTCCGGTATGTGCGTCATATGTAAGCTACACATGAAGCTATTCGTGACGCAGGGAGCAGATCAGTCAGCTCTTCCATCGTCTACCAGCCGGAACGTCGTCGAGCAAGTACTGAATCCCAGTGAGAAAGGCCCAGGATGCCACCGGATGTGGCAGAACTTCTCGGGATTTGGCCGGACTCCGATGATGAATGAAATGAGTCCCGCCGCATCCGACAGGATCCCAATTTTGTGCACGAAAAGAGGATTCTGCGGGATGCGGCGGGATTCTCGCGTGCTCTCATCAAGCCGCAAATGCGTAGAGCCGGGCCACAATCTGCAATAAACATGTTATATTCTTGAATAACGGGACATGTTTTCCTCTTTCGATATTGACAAATCGGCGCTATTCACTGCACGAAACGACATAATGGGCAGAGGCAAATTATATTTGTTACGAAGGTGTAGATACTGCACATTTGATATAAACATGAGAACGTAGACTGTATGTATACATGGAATATCAGTACCAGGACGGGTCTGTGAGCGTATAGAGTGATTTGAGGGCCGAAGGCCGACGAGCGCATGTACTCATAATTATGAGTACACGGAGAGAACACTGAGAGGGGCGAGATGAGCTAGCGAGAGCAGGACTAGGAAACAACCGACGACTGCCGTAGGCGTTGGGGCCGTGTTCGAAACGGGCAGGTACGGGCGTGGGCGGGCGGGGGTACGAGGGCGGGCGGAAGCTGGCAGGTACGAGGGCGGGCGGGAGCAAGGGCAGGCGTGGGTGGGGCGGGCGTGAGCAGGTATTGGGGTGTACGAGGGACAGGCGG